TTTTTTTTTTTTAAAGATTTTATTTATTTATTTGACAGAGAGATAGAGAGCACAAGTAGGCAGAGCAGCAGGCAGAGGGAGAGGGAGAAGCAGGCTCTCTGCCAAGTAATGAGCCCTGCCTGGGGCTCGATCCCAGGACCCTGGGATCATGACCTGAGCCGAAGGCAGACACTTAACCTACTGAGCCAACCAGGTGCCCCCGAATGGGCCCATTTCATAGTGTATGAATTTAGTGAGCATATTTTAATTATAACAATTTAAATTATTATAGTTTGGGAATAAAATGTATAAAGCAATAATTATATATGTATTTTTATTTTCAAAAATTATACTTTTCTCTTTTAATGATTAATTTTGAACAATTTAAAGACGATATAAAGTTGTAATGATCTGTATGGGTATGTGAAGGGCAGTTACATTTAAGTGTATTTAAAATATCATTACAAAATATCATAAAATGTTCTTGAGGATCCTCCTCATGTATGTTCATTCTCACTGAGTATTTCACTGTAGTTTTGCCCCAGTTGTGCCATTGGCCAAGTTGGCCCTTTGCATTTTTGTGTGCATATTCTGACTCGAGTCAAATTAATATGCATTTAAAAATTTTTTTTATTAGTGGAATTATGGTATGTTAGGGTTGAGGAAATGGAATTTTATATGATTTGTGTGGTTTATTAGAAATATCTAATTTTTGGGCACCTGGGTGGCTCAATTGTTAGGCGTCTGCCTTCGGCTCGGGTCGTGAACCCAGGGTCCTGGGATCGAGCCCCCATCGGGCTCCCTGTTCCACGGGAAGCCTGCTTCTCCCACTCCCACTCCCCCTGCTTGTGTTCCCTCTCTCGCTGTCTCTCTCTCTCTCTCTGTCAAATAAATAAATAAAATCTTTAAAAAAAAAAAATCTAATTTTTAACAGTTGGTCAACTAAGTAATGGTATTCCTATTTCATTATAAAATCTAGGGTCAGGGAAGTTAAATCACTGACCCCAGGTCACAGAGCTGGTGAGTGTAGGAGTTGTTGGTCAATGAAAGTAAATTTAGTTATTTGTGCATTAAGTGAATTTTTCTTGGCTTTGTTCATAAGTAAACCAAAATAAATTATTTAATTGCTTTGTTTACTTTTATATTGAAGGCTGTATTTGTTTTGTTAGTTTGATTGTTCTTCCCGCCTCCCTCTTTCTTTTTTTTTAATTAGGGATGGTTTTAGATTTTCATCTCAAGAAGCTGCTTCTAGTTTTGGTGATGATAGACTACTAATAGAAAAATTTATTGATAACCCTCGTCATATAGAAATCCAGGTTGGTACATTTTAAGATGTTTTCTAATTATTATGACTTTAAAAAAACGTCATTTATTCCTATTGGAAACATATCCTTTCTTCCATTTAGAATGATTGTGAATTGTTCTGATATGCTTGAATAACTTCAAAATAGAGAATGTGCATAAATTGATCACTTTCCTTTGGAATCTGGTATACTTCTCATTAAAGTGCCAGGCTGTTGGTCAACATAGGGAATGATACAAAAATCCTGTTGTAGAAAGAAGCAGTCCCAAGCTGTCTGACCAAGTTAAATACTTTGCACCTAGAGATTCATTCAGTCCCATTCTGGGACTGGGCCATGACACCTTGACAGGGCTTGCTTTTTTTTTTTTTTTTTTTTTTAATAAAGTGCTTGATCTGGACTTCTATCATTTCAGTTCACCAAATGTCTGTGTGGCTCACTGAGACAGACATTCTTCTAAATTGCTAGTTTCGACATGAGTAAATAATTTCTTCTACTCAGGTTAAGATTTTAATCTAACTGCTAAAGTGGTTGTAGGGGGTGTAGATTTCAGCAAGACAAAAAATTGGTTTTCTGAAATAACACACAGAAGAAGACAATGTCTCCTGAAGTTTTCATTTCTGTTAAGAACGTCTTCTGTTAAGAATGTTATGGCTATGAATTGAATTAAAATTGATAAAATGTAAACATCAAATTTAAAATTATACTGAGGTTTAAGTATTGTTTTACTTAGTGTCAATAGAGAATCAGAAAACTAAATAATAGGTTATTTGCTGCCCTTGCCTCTTCTGATGAGGCATAATAGAAGTCCTAAATTCTGTCATTGTGGTTTTTTGAAGTTAATTATCATTTTACATAGTTTTTTTTTTTTTTTTTAAAGATTTTATTTATTTATTTGAGAGAGAGAGAGAGATAGAGAGCATGAGAGGGAGGAGGGTCAGAGGGAGAAGCAGACTCCCTGCCGAGCAGGGAGCCCGATGTAGGGCTCGATCCCAGGACCCTGGGACCATGACCTAGGCCAAAGGCAGACGCTTAACTGACTGAGCACCCAGGCACCCTAGGTATTTTTTATGGGTAGAAAATCTTCATCTAGATCCTCCAGTTTTCCAGAGTGGGAAAAAATGTTGCAAATATATATCATCAGCAAATAGCCTTAAAACACTGACTGTAGTGTATTTCTTTCTGAAGTTAGCAGGGGTTTTTGTTGTTGTTGTTGGGTTTTTTTGTTTTTAGATGTTCTGAAGTGAGCTACCACATCTTAAAGTCCACAGATCTTAAGTGTACGACCCAAAGTTCTTATGCATGCATGTAGGGCTGTATAGCCACCGTCCAGATCTGTGTATATAGCACATTTCTGTGACATCAGAAGACTTCTTCATACAACTTCCCAGTCAGTCCCTCCACTTGGCCTCCTGTTCTGACCTCTAACACTAGAGTATTTCTGCCTGTTCTTAAACTTATATCAATGAAATCATACAATATATTTTGGTTATATCTGGCTTCTTTCATACAACATCATGTCTTTGAGATTGTTCCGTGAGGCTGTGTGTTACTATTAACTCTAAAAAATTGCTCTGTGATATTTCATTGTTTGAATAACCTGCAATTTATCCATTTTCCTGTTGGTGGATCTTCAGGTTGTTTCCAGCTTTTTGATACTATGAATAAATTGCTATGACTTTTTATGGACATATACATTCTTGCAGATATACTGAGGAGAAGTATTACTGGATTACATGGTAATGTTATGTATAGGTCTAGTAAATACTGTAGTTTCTATATGTGTGTGTGTGTGTGTGTGTGTGTGTGTGTGTGTGTATTTTTTTAAAGTAAGCTTCATACCCAACATGGGGCTGGAACTTATGACCCTGAGATCAAGAGACATGCTCCACTGACTGAGCCAGCCAGGTGCCCCCGTGCTTTATGTGTTTTGGATATTAACCCCTTATTAAATATATCATTTGCAAAATCTCCTCCCATTCAGTAGGTTGCCTTTTTTCTTGTTGATGGTTTCCTTTGCTGTGCAAAAGCTTTTTATTTTGGTGTAGTCCCAATGGTTTATTTTTGCTTTTGTTTCCCTTGCCTTCGGGGACATAGCTAGAAAAATGTTGCTGTGGCTGATGCCAGAGAAATTACTGACTGTGTTCTCTTCTAGGATTTTTATGGTTTTAGGCCTCACATTCAGGCCGTTTAATTCATTTGGAGTTTATTTTTGTGTATGGTGTTAAAAAGTGGTCCAGTTTCATTCTTTTACATGTAACTGTCCAGTTTTTCCAGCACCATTAACTGAAGAGACCGTCTTTTTCCCATTGTATAATCTTGTCTCCTTTGTCATAGATTACTTGCCCATAAAATCATGGGTTTATTTCTGGGCACTCCATCTGTTCTGTTGATGTATGTGTCTGTTTTTGTGCCAGTACCATACTGTTTTGATTACTATAGCTTTGTAGTATATCTTGAAATCTGGGATTGCGATACCTTCTGCTTTGTTGTTCTTAAAATTGCTTTGGCTATTCGGAGTCTTTTGTGATTCCATACAAATTTTAGGATTATTAGTTTTAGGTCTGTGAAGAATGCTGTTGGTATTTTGGTAGGGATTGCATTAAATCTGTAGATGGCTTTGAGTACTATGGATATCTTAACAATATTCTTTCAGTCCATGAGCATGGAATAGCTTTATATTTGTGTCATCTTCAGTTTCTTTCATTAGTGTTTTATAGTTTCCCGAGTACAGGTCTTTCATTTCCTTGGTTAATTTTGTTCCTTGATACTTTATTCTTTTTAGTGCAATTGTAACTGGAATTGTTTTCTTAATTTCTCTTTCTGCTACTTCATTCTTGTATGGAAATGTGGCTGATTTCTAGATACTAATTTTGTGTCCTGCAACTTTACTGAATAAATTCATTACCACTGATAATTGCTTTGTGGAGTCTTTAGGGTTTTCTGTGTGTAGTATCATGTCATCTGCAAATAGTGACAGTTTTAACTTCTTCCTTACCAGTTGGGATGCCTTTTATTTCTTGTCCGATTGCTGTGGCCAGGACTTCCAGGATTTTGTGAATAAAAGTGTCAATACTGGGTATCCTTACGTTGTTTTTGATTTTAGAGAAAAGCTCTCAGTTTTTTACCACTGAGTATGCTGTTACTTGCAGGTTTTTCACATGTAGCCTTTATTATGTTGAGGTATGTTCTCTCTAAGCCCACTTTAAGAGTTTTTATCATGAATGGATGCTGAATTTTGTCAAATGCGTTTTCTATATCTATTGAGATGATCATGTGATTTTTCTCCTTCATTTTGTTAATGTGATGTATCACGTTGATTTGTGAATATTGAACCATCCTTGCATCCCTGACATAAATTCCACATGACCGTGGTGAATGATTTCTTTTAATGTCTTATTGAATGTGGGGGCCGACTTTGGATATGGTCTAGCACAGCCCATTGACCAGCCCCCCCAATGATCATGTCCTTCTGTAAGTAGAATATAACCATCTGCCAAGACCAGAATCTCGCCTTCAAACTTGGCCCAGCTATGGGTGAGACTTCTTATATATGGTTCCTTAAAAGCAGTTTTTCTGATGCAAAGACCTCTGTATTTGAAGGCAGTGTGACACCTGCTCATCAAACTTACAGCGATGAGAAAAGGATATGACACTGCAATAAATACCCCAACCAACAAGGTAAAGGAAGAAAACAGGAGGCACATACTAGTCATTGGCTCTTACTTTGTATTGGAAAACCACCATTTGAAGCTGAGAATCTCATAGGAGTTTGGTTTTTATTTTTGTTTGCTGTAATTCTTGGTGAGAGATGATGGCAGCTTGGGCCAGGGTGTTGGTAGAGGAGGTGGTGAGATGTGACTGAATTCTCGATACTCTGTGAAGGTAGACCAGATTTTCTAAGAGATCAGATGTGATGTATAAGAGAAAGCATAAGGCATCAAAGATGGCTTTAGGGTTTGGGCCTGAGGAATTAGAAGACTAGGACTATCTTTTACTGCGGTGGGAAAAACTGAGAGGTGCATGTTTTGGGGAGGAGATCAGGGTGTGATTTTGGAGAAACAAGGTTGAGATATCAAAGTGTAGGTGTTGAGTAGACTGTTGGATATTTAAGTCTGTAACCTAGGGGAGATACCTGGGCTATCCTTCCTGTAAGGTTGTAGAGGCAAAATTAATTTTCCCCTTCTCTGTATTCCTCTTCTGTTACATATTTGTTAGATGACCATTGATTTTATCTTGAGTTGTCTGACTTTTCAAATAGACCAAGAAGTACTTGAAGGCAGTTAGTAGATCTTATTCATTTGTTGGTTCCAGCAACTAGGCCATTGTCTTTCACATTACTAACACTCAATAAGTGTTAGGTTGTATTAAGTAATTAGAGATCTACATCAGCTTGTAGTTTATTTTCATTAGCCGTGCCATATAATCTAGGTGATAATTTTATTTTTTATTTTTTTATTTTTTTAAAGATTTTATTTATTTATTTGACTGAGAGAGACACAGTGAGAGAGGGAACACAAGCAGGGGGAGAGGGAGAAGCAGGCTTCCTGCCAAGCAGGGAGCCCGATGCAGGGCTCCATCCCAGGACCCTGGGACCATGACCTGAGCCGAAGGCAGACGCTTAATGACTGAGCACCCAGGCGCCCCCTAGGTGATAATTTTAAACATAGGTGAAAGTGTCTCCTAGTAACTTAAATAGGTAACACAGATGTTTGCCATATCTGATCTATGTTTTTTAAAAATTATTTTTCTCAGTTTGCATGTATTTAATTATTTATATGAGGTAATTTGTGCACACAAAAAAGGACATCCAATGAAAAGTGAGCATTCCTTTCACCCCTGTCTCCAGGTCCTTGTCTCCAAGCCCCCTGGTTTCTGTCCCTAGAAGCAGGCACCGTTACATCCTGCTGTATCCTATTGTGAAGTATATATGTGTATCACTTACTATTTTTACACAGGGGCTGTCGCCTACTGTGTCCTTTCTTACGCCGACTCTCCACTGGTGGTGGCGGTGGCACCACTCTGAGGGGTGGAAACCTGTGTTTCTCAACCTGGGCACTACTGGCACTTTGTGAGTTGGATCCAGGGATGCTGAGTGGCTTGCATTATGTGGACACTCTGTTACCATGATGCTTTTTTCAGTAAGCAGTGTATTTGGGAGATTTTCCACATTGAGTACCTGCACATTGGTAAAAGGCTATATTAAAAGTAAAAGAAAATAAAACTTATGATGGGGGGTATCTGACTGGCTCAGTCAGTGGAGCATGCAACTCTTGAACTCTAGGTTGTGAGTTCAAGCCCCAACATAGGGTATAGAGATTACTTAAAAAATAAAATCTTGGGGCACCTGGTGGCTCAGTCAGTTAAGCGTCTGCCTTCGGCTCAGGGCGTGATCCCAGGGTCCTGGGATCGAGCCCCGCATCGGGCTCCCTGCACAGCGGGGAGTCTGCTTCTCCCTCTCCC